TATCCATAGTGTTAAAAAAATTGGTACATTTCACATATAACAAAGTGGTACATTAATAAAAAAGAATGAGTACGTTATAAATAAATTAGGGTACAGATAAAAGATTAAAAAAATTATGAGTACAAATGAATTTTTAAAAAATATAGGCGCTAAAATAAATTAATACATGGGTACAAAATAAAACTAAAAAGAAAAAACTACAAATTTAAAAAAAATGTTGCAAATTAAAAGTGGGTACAAACTAAAAATATAAATACATAATACAAAGTTTAGGCATAAAACATAAATATACCATATGTAATTTTTCTATCATTGATTAAATATACAATGTCACGTGACAGTATACACATGGGTACAAACACAAATAAAACTTTAAAAAATATGGGCACAAAAAGAAACTATTATATGGGTACAAATTAAAAATGAAAAAAAATTTGGTACAAACTAAAAATAAAAATATATGATAAAAAATTTAGCCATAAATATAAATATACTAATTGTAACATTTTTAACACTAAAGGAATATATTTAAAAATAAAAATATTTTATTATTCAAATAATTAATTATGTTATTAATACCCAAGGACATTGATCAAAAATTGAAAATGAATAGGATTTTAATCAATGGAGTAACAAAAAGAATGATGTAAACCTAATTTCTCCTTAAAATAATTTCTGACCGTACGATGTAGGATGAACGGATAAGAATGACGAATCCCCGGGATCCTCACAAAGAGGATCCGGCGAGGATCCGGATTCTGTTTTCAGTAGTGAGTCTACTAGGTAATTCAACTTTTTAAACTATCTTCACCATTCGATTTTTTAGAGTCATTCTTCACAATTCATTTTCTGGACTACTCACTAGTCCCCGAACTATTGAAGAAAATTTGCAACTCCCCCGTGAAGAAGAGATTTTGTCGTGCAACCAAAATATATCATATCACATGATATGGGAGATAGAGGGAAGAGATTTTGCCTTTTGCCCCCAAGAGCTCAAAACTCTTAAGCTGCAAGTCTCTAGTATTAGCAAGCTCCTTTCATTTTTTTCCTTTTTATGTTTCTTTGTTCCTAATTCATAATTTAGAACCTATGATATTTTGTGTTTCTGCATTTGACTTCTCAAGCGAGGGACAATCTTGTATTCTTGCAACGCTGGTTCAACAAGTTCCCCCAGTACAAGCACAGGGATTTGTTTCTAACAGGAGAAAGTTATGCAGGTACTCTAAATATCCATAGCCGAGAGTCGTTTTCAATTTCCTGTTGCATCCTCTTTCTTATTGTTAATTTCTTCTTTTTATGCTTATTATTAATTCCAGGTCACTACATCCCTCAACTTGCAAAGCTTATGATTGAAATCAACAGAAAGGAAAAGTTGTTCAGTCTAAAAGGAATTGCTGTGAGTAGAAGCACTTCTACTGGAAGTTTAAAACCAACATTCGTCATTCAGAAAGTTGAATCAGCTAATATATGGATATTTTCTCTTACTGCAGCTGGGAAATCCTGTTCTAGAATTTGCCACGGACTTTAATTCGAGAGCGGAGTTCTTCTGGTCTCACGGGCTAATATCCGATTCAACATACAACATGTTCACTTCTGTCTGTAACTATTCGCGCTATGTGAGCGAGTACTACAGAGACTCGCTGTCGCCTGTTTGCTCAAGGGTTATGAGCCAAGTGAGCAAAGAAACAAGTAAATTTGTGGACAAGTATGTGTAACCCTAGATGTCTGCATTTCATCTGTGCTCTCACAATCCAAGGTTATAAGCCCCAATGTAAGCCTAATTCTCTTCCTTTTAACTTTTTGTTACACCCATTATCTCCGCCAGCACATTCCATTTTTCTAGCTTTTGGAATGAATAAATCATAGGATATTAAGGAACATCAATAAACAGGAGCGCACGGAGATCATTTCCATATTTTTCTGAAATTTTTTTCTCATTACACATCTAAGTCTTCTCATTATGTGACTGCAGCAAATGACTGAGAGGATAGATGTGTGTGTTGAAGACAAAACTGTGAATTATTTGAACCGGAAAGATGTGCAAAAGGCTCTCCATGCGCGGCTTGTTGGAGTTCGGAGATGGGATGTTTGCAGCAAGTAAATTCTTTTTACTTGAGATTAAAGAAAAAGCTGATGTGGGAATTCTAAACAAATACAATTTCTGCAGCTACTAATAGAAATTTCATACTTTTGCTGCATATAGCATTTTGGACTACCAAGTGCTCAACCTGGAAATACCTACAATCTCACTAGTCAGATCGCTTGTGAAGCAAGGAATCCCAGTCTTGGTGTACAGGTAACTATATTTCAGTCTCACATGATATATGGATACCTCTAGCTGCTACGAAACTAATTCATAAAAAAATTCAATTCAGTGGAGATCAGGATTCTGTAATTCCATTAACGGGAAGCCGAAGGTTGGTATATAGATTGGCAATGGAGTTAGGATTGAACACCACTGTCCCTTATCGAGTTTGGTTCGAAGGAAAGCAGGTATTATGTTGCAATGCTTATACCCACCCTTTTTTGTGCCATTCTAAGAGGTTATTTGTTACAAAAAATGAGCAACGGAAATCGGGTTTTATACTTTTATACGATTTCTTCTTGTTCCGTCCAGGTTGGTGGGTGGACTCAAGTTTACGGAAACATTCTCTCATTTGCCACCATCAGAGGTGCCTCCCATGAAGCTCCATTCTCACAGCCTGAGAGATCACTGAGGCTGTTTAAGTCATTTCTGGCAGGCAGGCCTCTGCCTGAAGTTTTCTGATATAATTGTTAGGTCCATGGTGTTTGAGTTTGAATACATCTTTCAACTGCAAAAAGAATGGAGGGAGATTTTGTGTGTGTGTGTTTGTGGATTTTGTAAATGTGATGACTGTTTGGGTTGGAAATTTTTTGTAAAAAGGTGTCATGGGAAAGCTGAGAGGCTTTTTCCTTTACCTGTTTTGATTGAATCATTTAGATTGAAGGAAAACTAATGAAAATAGAGTTTTTCGTTAAAATGAATAATACCGGAAGCTTTTCATTAAAGTTCTTTTAGATTGATTCAAAAACTTTTTTTTGCCCTTCACTTGAGCCAATATCTGAGGCTCAAGGGAAACTTTGGGGAATTGATTAACACTCCCATTTCTCTTTTTCCTTTTTTTTTCTTTTTTTTTTTGTCTTAAAATTGAATATATAAATAAAAATTAATGTAAAACGACGAAGCGATAAGTGATGAAGAAGATTATGAGAGTGAAAATCAGAACATAAATTTTGTTAAGACAATTATACTAACCGAGAGTGATGTAGAGTCCAACAAGATTAAAATACAATATATCACATATTTAAACTTGTGAAAAACACCATACGCAAAATTTTCTCATAAAGCAAAGCTCTAATCACACTCAAAAGCAATTTTCAACATATTTATAATGCATGTAGGTTGGGCAAGAATGTGGTCAGTACACTAATTAAGATGGGTTAATTACGACAATGGTCTTTGCACTTGTCCTCGTCTTTCATTTTTAGCATTTGATTTAGTTTTCCAATTTTGTGGTCCTCTCACTTGCGTCACCTGTCTTTTTTGTTATTGTTATTTTCCACCTGTTTGACTACTTTACTACCCTTCAATTGACCATTTTACTTCTCAAATAGACGGATAAGTAAACAATAATGTAACGAAAAAACTAAAGTAGGTAGTAACACAATTGAAAGACCATAAAATTTTAAAAATAAATTGAATGCCCATATAAAACTTAACTAAATGACCAAAGTGAAACATAGGTATATGTTCGGCAACCAACGTTGTAATTAACCCTTTCGAAGGGTTTATCCGAAAAGTTGAATTTGCTTTAGTTCCACCAAAATATTCATCATTTGTACAAACTTGTTTTAGGACCTTTATTATTTCTTCTTCTTTAGGAGAAGGGTACTTTTTTGTCGGAATAGGAGAATGGTACTTATTAAGTCCAATTTTATGTGAAAAAACAATTAATATGATATTGACTCGAGATATCATGATAGTGTATTCAATTAGAAATTTAAGAGATTTTAATAGATTTATAAATCTATGAATTTTTATGGATTTTAATTGATTTGTAGAGATTTCATGTAAAAATTTGATTCAATTCTCTCAAAATCTCATGGGGAGAGGTGATGCTTAAAATACACTACGAAATCTCTTCAATTCTCTCTAATTCCTCAATTTTGCAAATTCTTTAAAATCAAATTCTAATTAAATACACGTGGAATGTTATAAACTTCTTTAAAATTTTAATTGAATATATCCAGATTTCTAAATATTTTATAAACTATCTTAAAATTTTGATTGAATACACATTGAATTTCAGATAATCACTTAAAATCCTGATTAAATACACCTAGATTCATTAAAAGAATTAAAATCTCCCAAAATTCCAATTGAGTCTCTCCCCTTGGTTAGTCCCAACCCAAGACCCCATCCTCCACATTTTACCGAAAGTTTATTATTTTTTTTATACAATGACATTTAACATCAAGAAGTAAAAAGATTGGGTTAAGACACACAATATGCCCGCCATAGCAAGGTGGTATCAAACTTGTCATCCAATATAATATCAAAAATCTCCCTAACTTGAATAATAATGTTAGGAAGATCAAATTTTTAAAACTAAAATCAAATGATGTGGTTGTAGATGATTAAATTATTAATTAAGTATCGATTAACGTGTCTATCTCTTATTGATCACCCATAATTTAGTTGTGCAAATTTAAATTTAAATTTTGATCTCCCTAACATTATCCTAACTTGAATGCAAGTTTTGCTAAGAAAAATTGAACACATTTCCTTTTTAACTAGTTTCTTTTCCAAAACAAGAAAAGAACCGTTGGAGATCTAGACAAAGTACACAAAATTATAATTAATTAATTAATTAATTTTTTTATTGATTAAATTCAACAATCATTGAAAAAAGAAAAGAAAAGAAAATGATAAACAGAAAATCAGTGGGTCTCATGCAGTCTGATTAAACAATTCAAAACCCAAAAGCAGAAGAGTGTGATCCTCATCATACCTTCAAGCACCCACCACTGACAATTCCCCTTCCCGAAGCCCCATCTTACATTCAGTTTTGCAGGCCAAACCGCCACCAAAACCACCGCCATCTTCCATTTCCTCTCTCTCTCTCTCTCTCTCTGCACCGTATAACACCGTATAGTTTTCAGAACAGCAAAAAAAAATTTGAAAAGGCGCCAATGTCCAACTATCTCTCAACTCTCTTTCTTAAAAAAGCACACTCCTTTTTCTTTTTTGAATTATACTTGTCCTCCTTTGCACTCTCTCTCTCTCTCTCTCTCTCTCTCTCTCTCTCTCCCCCCAACTGGCTTCAAGGACAGACAGAGAGAGTGGTACCCTCCTCCCATTCTTTTCATTTTCTAAAGAAAAACCCCAAATATCCCAAAAATAAACATTATGGCAAAAGAGCAAAGCCAGGAGCCTGCAATCACCAACCTTCTGCAGCTCCAGGTATTTCCCCCCCTTCCCTTTAAATTTCCTTCCTCTTTCTTAAACCCAGATCGTTAAAATCTCAGATTTTGCCTAATTTGAATGCCATTCGTGTTTTTTCTGATGTTTTGGGATCTGGGTTTTCTGTGCATTGCTTAAATTTTGCATTTTTTTTTTTTGGATTTCAATCAAGAAATGAAACATTTTGGGGTTTCTGATTTCGTATTGTTGTTGTTTATATGCTGGAATTACAGGACAAGGAGGAATACAAGGAGTTGGACCCTGGATCTGAGGAGCCTGAGGCCCCTTTGCCTCTCACCGTCACTTCCCGGGTTAGTAACTTTTATACAATACTGCATTTTTATTTATTTCTTTGAGTGCTGGTGTTGTAGTATTAATTTTGCATTTAAAGACATAAAGACATGTAGTGACTGAATTTTAGAGAAAGAGAGATGAAAATTAATCATGGTTGTTTGGGGGTGTATTTGGAATGCAGGTCTTGTATATGTTGGGTGACATTGCCGCAGGGCCGGCATATAGAATCACGCAATGGCTGGAACTGGTTCGTAAACGGAGTGCTAAGTATCACTCGTCTGGCTTCCCCCACCGCCTTCCAAGGTTTGACAGTATGCCTTCGAGGTTTGTTTCAAGTTTTTTGTTATCTTACGTTGAAATGTGGTTACAATGTTCGGTAGTCGTCATCACGGTTGCCATTCAGTGTAGGAGACTTTGTTGATGATTGGAAAGGTTCTCTTCCCTGTGAGCAAACCACGGAAGTCAATCTCTGGGAAAGACTTGGCAAAGCTGCTACATTGGATATTGAGTCGAGTTATTTTTCCTGGGATAGGCTCTCGTCGCTTCATCACACTGAGCATAGTAGTAGCAATGACAATTCTGAGGATGAAATGAATAAAGCTCTTGAGGTGTGCAATCTAAATTAACCACTTTATATGGAATTTTGTTTTATGTTTACTGGATTGAATTACAGAATAAATATGTGCGTAATTATTTATATTCTTATTTGCTGCCCCGTCATCTCTTCAGTTGTGTACATATAGGTAACTGTAAATTCGGGGGGTGTTGTCTTCTTTGGCCTGTTCAACCAGCCAGGGAATGATGATGCTTCTACTAAGGAAGCGGCGGCTGTTATAAAGATTTCATCATCAAGGATGGCCACGCAATCTGAACGCCTTGGATATGAAATTGCAAAGTGGCTTGGAGTTCGAACTCCTCAGGTAGTACATTGTCACTCAACTCACTCCTGTGATAATATTATACCTACAATAATACATATATGTTTTGTCTGTTGGATTTTGCAGGCCAGAGTCATTCATAATTGTAGCTTGGAATGGCTCCAGATTAAGGAAGCTGCAGAGAAAGCAAGAGATGCAGCAAGTGCAGAAGGAGATGAATGTGGGGAAATGACGTGTTCAGAACTTTTGGAAGCTCTTGAACTTAGCCGATGCCTTTTGCTCATGAGGTCTAACTATCATCTTAGTGTCTCTATTTCTAATGTAGACAAAAAGTTAACCTGTATGAAATGTTATGCTTCGTTCACAATCTAGCATGCACATAACTAGTTAGTCGCAGCAAAAATGTTGAATGCCCGGTCTTTTGCATGCTGTTAAATTGTTCCCCTATGTTTTCTAGAACCTGTTCTTTGCCCCCCTTCTTGTATACTTTTAACAGAAACTAAATGAGGAAGCATCACGTTCCATGAGGTGCTCTACTAGAAAATGCTTCATAGTAGATAACTGGACCTTTCATGTGTACTGAAGACCAAAGCTTTAATTTTTGCAGCTATGTTCACGGATCTCCTTTACTTGAAAGCCCAACTGTATTTGAGTCGAGGGAAACTGCAGAAAAAACAGCGGCTGCTCTTGGTAGGATCTTGATGTTGGATCTTGTCATCAGAAATGAGGATAGGCTTCCTTGCCATAAGCTCAGATGGCGTGGAAATTCTGCAAATCTATTGTTGGCTGACAAAATGTCTTTGGGAAATATGGATAGTTTGGGGGAATCCCTTGATTCTACAATCAAGCGATACAAACCAAGAGTAATCAGAGGTCTTCATAAGGATAGAAGGGTAACTTCAGTAGATAGCAAATTAGGTACTCATAATGCCGTATTGGTACCACAGACTTCTGATCTTTCAGATATTGTAGAGTCACCAAGATCTATTAAGAGTGCACTATCAGATGATGCAGTGCATTCTGATTTTCCAGTTTTGGCTATTGACTCTGGGGTTCCTCGTCGACCTCCTGCTGGAAAGCGCGCAAATGACCAGGAAATTTATCCCAGGTTGGTTGAGTTACTACTCAACAGTTCTGATTACTCATCTAATGTGTTGCATGAAATAACATTAGGGAAGTTAGGTCGTTCTACCATACAAGAAACTGATGCATCTGATATGCCGGCGTTTGAGATGGCTTCGGTTGTTCAAGAATTTCGTGGTGGATTCCGAGCTGCTCTTCGGGATCTGCAGGGATTCCATATATTCTTACTCACACTTCATCAAAGACTGGAGAACTTGTTACGAATATTCTTCAATATTATAGATAGAATATCCTCAGGGGAGTCTGACAAAGAGGATTTGGCAGTTCCTGAGTCTTCCTCTCACGCTGCTGGAAGTGTTCATTGTGCTTCTCCACCAAGTAAGGAAAGACTTATCAATGAGAACAATCCTGATTTTAGTGATTCTGAATTACAGAGAACTGCTCCAAGGTCTTCATATTCCGGAAATAAAGAAGGCTATGACTGCAGCTCGCCCATGTCAAGGGATGGTTTGCATGGGAGATTCTCTAAAGGAATTGCGGAGCCCCTCCGTAGTTTGCGTTTGACAGCAAAGCTTCGGGATTTCCATAAATACGCCAAGGTTGGACATACTTCAAGCAAACTGAATTTTTTCTTATTTGATACTATAGATGAGGAAACAGAAAGTCCTTTCATTATGCATAATTTCTCCTAAACTTCAATATATTACCATGCTCAGGTTGATGCTGAATCAAACAAAGAACTGGAACAGTGGAATGAAATGCTAAAGTTTGATGCTGTCAAACTATGTCAAGAGAACAATTTTAATTCTGGGTTTTTCGAGGGTAGTGACAACAATGGTGTTGTCGATGCTTATGAATTGAAGGTATATTTGTCCCTTATTTCCTTTTCTATGATTTTTCTTCCTTTCCTTTCTCCTTCTTGTAAACATTTCTCTATAACTAACAGGTTAGACTTGAGCACATTCTTGAGAGGATTGCATTGATATCTGGTGCTGCAAATACAGAGAGGCCATCTCGAGTTACAAGTTGCATGTTCATCGGTGGGGCCCTGGCTGCACGATCTGTATTCACGCTGCAACGCTTGGAAATTACTCATGTGTTGTGTTTGTGCTCCAATGAAATTGGACAAGCTGATTCTCAGTTTCCTGATCTATTTGAGTACAAGAATTTTGCTGTAAGGGTTCTTTCTCATCTGTGTTTACACGTCCAAATAAGCCCATGTGAACATTATCTAATGACATCTTCTCTCCCATAATCCACGTTCTCCATTTATACTAAATGTTTCTCTTTTGAATGTTTTAAACATTTACCCTAACTCTGCATGTATTTCATTGTGTTTGTAAATTGTTTGGCACCTGCATTGTTCTGATTAGACTGCAATCCCCCTTTGAACAGATATGCGACAATGACGATACAAACATCAGCACCATCTTTGATGAAGCTATTGGTTTTATTGATCGTGTTGAACAAAAAAGAGGGAAGGTTCTCGTCCATTGCTTCGAGGGGAAAAGTAGAAGTGCCACCCTTGTGCTTGCCTACCTAATGCTGAGAAAGTAAGTAAAATCTATTATACTCCTCGTACACATGTGGCATCAACCGATCTTCGATGTCCGTATTGCTTTACTAGGTGTAAATTGTGATTCCAACAGTATTACTTCGAGAAACATTTAGCTAAGTAATCTTCCTATGGTGCAGGAATTGCACTCTATTAGAGGCGTGGACGTCTCTAAAACAAGTTCATCGTCGGGCGCAACCAAATGATGGTTTTGCAAAGATCCTAGTGGATCTGGATAAGAAACTTCACGGGAGAGTTTCCATGGAGTGGCAACAGCGGAAGCCTACAATGAAAGTTTGCCCAATCTGCGGGGTGAATGCAGGTCTGAGTAGCAGCTCGCTTAAGCTTCATTTGCAGAAATCACACAAGAAGCTATCGTCAGGTAGTGTCGATAGTGCAATGACAATGGAGATACAAAAGGCTTTGACAGCGCTAAAAATTAGCCGAGGCGGAAGCGTCAGCCCTAAACAGAGGTCTCATTCAGATGTGGAAGATTAGGGACTTCCAAGCTGAAAGCCTCCTTTTTATTTGTATGAGGTGCTCTGGGAGATGATGGACTTGTTGCATAAATGTGGCTGGCCATTCTTGTAGATATAAATATAGGGATTGTTGAGTTTGCCTTTTACATCAAGGAGAATGGTGGGGTGGGTTTGTGTACATCTGGGTTTCAAGTTCAAGTGTATCATAAGTAGATTATCAGACACTTCAGGGGTGTATGTTGGCAGTGCCGTATTCTGACAGTGTGATATTATAATGTACTCTAATTTACGGGTTAAGGGATTTGAATGTAGGTTTAAAGGGACAGGCACACTGACCTAACCCGCATCTGTGAGCGTGCACCGTTTTTCATGTGTACATAGATGATTAACAGCAGCAACTTATCTTTGAACTCAAAATGGATTTCATTTACGTGTTAATGATTCATGCAACAGGAGCGCTCAAACACTAAATAATTAGTAACTCGAATAATCAAAGTTGTACCATCATTATCGTGAAAATTCACTCAAATCAGAAATCATTGTCTTGGTAAACGTTTCATTCTTTTATCTGCAATGATGTGTTCGTCGTCCAGTAAACTTTGTCAGAGAGAATCTTCCAATAATAACCCAACAAATGTCAATTCAAACTACGAGAGACCATAAAGTGAGCCTAATCGAGTGGTGGTAATATGTTACTAACTGGTTAACGCTTGATCAATCTTCATGTTAAACATAGAAGCACAAAACTTATCCGAGAGGTAAAAAGTTTCACAGTTAAGCCACATGAATGTGTTAAAAATCTTTTATTATAAATACCAACACTGTATTCAGCACACGAGTGTAAAAAGAAGAGTCTAACCCTAATATATTTGGGAAACTGAACTATGCAGATGCTATTTTTCTGTGATACTGCTACAGCTTGAGCATTCAAGTGAAGAACCATTAAACAAACAGCTTTCAGTTACCGCTACCGACTGGTCCGTTCCGAAGACCGTAAATCAGACTACGTTCAATGGCAAAGTGCAAATGGAAAAAATACAAACATATGCCAAAAGATCCAACGAAATGAGGCTACGTGAACTTTTCAAACAGGAATCGGCTCTGGCAAGGACTCGGGAGAACCGCTGCTGCCGTTGAGCACGGTCACGTTTCCATCAGAATCGACATCCACAATGACCGAGTCACCTTCTTTGATCTCCCTTGCAAGCATCTTCTCAGCCATGCTGTCCTCCAAGAGTCTCATGATAGCTCTTCTTAGAGGCCTGGCTCCGTAGCTCGGGTTGTATCCTTCGTCAACCACTCTATCTCTGAACCTCTCTGTCACTTGAAGCTCTATCTCTTTCTTCTTCAACCTCTCGAAAACCTCCTTGAGCATTATATCTGCTATGTCCTTCACCTCCAGCTTGGTGAGTTGTCGGAAAACAATCATTTCGTCCAACCTATTCAAGAACTCTGGTCTGAAGTACTGTTTTAGTTCCTCCGTCACCAAGCTCTTAATTCTATTGTAACTGCTATCCTTCTCATCATAATCAAGGTCAAATCCAATGCGTCGGCCTCCTTTCTCGATCACACTGCTTCCAACATTAGATGTCATTATCAGAAGTGTATTCTTGAAATCCACGGTTCTGCCCTTGCTGTCGGTTAATCTTCCATCCTCGAGTATTTGGAGCATCATGTTGAAGACATCGGGATGAGCCTTCTCAATTTCATCAAAAAGCACTACAGTGTAAGGACGGCGTCGAACAGCTTCAGTCAGCTGACCTCCCTCAGTGTAACCAACATAACCCGGGGGAGAACCAATGAGCTTGGAAACAGTGTGCCTTTCCATGAACTCACTCATATCAAGCCGAATCATGGCTTCTTCAGAACCAAAGTAGTAAGCAGCCAAAGCTTTAGCGAGCTCAGATTTCCCAACACCAGTGGGACCAGAAAAGATGAAACTGGCAATAGGACGATTAGGATTCTTTAGTCCAACACGGGCTCGGCGAATAGCACGACTAATAGCCTTGACTGCTTCATCCTGACCAATAACTCGCTTATGGAGGGTCTCTTCCATCTTGAGGAGGCGGTCTGATTCATCGGTTGACACTTTCTCAACTGGAATTCCAGTCCAGGAGGACACAATATGTTGAATATCCACTTCAGTCACGAGAGGACCTACATCTCCTGCCTCACTCTCTGCCTTGCTCATCTCCTTGCCTTTATCAACAACAGCTGTGATCTGTGCCTTTAGGTCCATTTCTTTGTCACGTAACTCCCCCGCCTGTCCAAAATGCAAATTGTCAGCTTAACTTATGCAAGTTTTTTTAAGCCACAGGCGTAACAGATGAAGATATTTGACAACTTTAATCCACCATCAGAAACTCATTAACTCTGATATCAATTTTACAACAGAAAGAACTTCAAATTTTAGAATTATTTCTAGTTGCTACTTCTATTGATTCAGTACGTTTTAGTAACCCTAGATCACAGTGGCCTTATCAGATTCACATACATGCCCTCGAGATATTGAATGTGTATATTGATGCAAAGTACATTCGGAAACAGAGTTCTGTACCTTTTCAAAGTCTTGGCTTCTAACAGCCTCGTTCTTCTCTTTAGTGATCGCCCTCAGCTCTTTCTCAATCCCTCTGGCTTCTTCAGGTAGCTGTAAACAATATTTAGTATGTCCCCATAAATACAAGCAATCCCTGAGAATCCAATGATGGTAGCTGTCTGAACTTAGAAATGAGGTCATACCTGTGCATGACGAAGGCGAACTCGAGAACCAGCTTCATCAACCAAGTCAATTGCCTTATCAGGCAAAAAACGATCACTGAAGCATACAGAATTATCGATCAGAACAAAACTATACAAGTATACGTGCATAGGGAAAGAGATAGGTAGCTAACACCATCACAAACAAACAGAAAAGTGGAGACCAAGTTAGTTCCACGGATGGGTTATGCCGAGGGAATGCAAGCAATAATAAAGGACGTCTGTACTGATCAAACACTATCAACATTTTAACTATTTTAAATAAGCATCAACAGCATCCAGCATTAGCACATTGCACATAGAAGTAGGGATGCCTACCTGATGTACTGGTATGATAGCTGTGCAGCAGATACCAAGGCTTCATCAGTGTAGCGGAGCTTGTGGTGAATCTCATACCGCTCCCTAAGCCCTCTCAAAATCTGAATGGTTTCATCCACGGTTGGTTCAGGAACTTTGACTGGTTGGAATCGCCTTTCCAAAGCTGGATCTTTCTCAATGTGCTTTCTGTACTCATCGAGAGTTGTGGCTCCAATGCACTGGACCAATAGTCAATAGAGATGAATCTTACTATTTGGATTCAAATATAAAAAGCAGTAAGCTAATATAATGTAGGAAATATATCATTCCTAAATCATCAGGAATCCAACAAGCACAAAACAAATGTAAAGCTCAACTCCCAGACAATAAAAATCTATAATTGCATTCCTACAGTTAACAAATATGTTTGTTTAATATACTTGATATTGGTTCAGGTCAAAAAATGAAAAAACTATTTATATACTTTCCATCCGTGCATCACTTTTTAATATCACAATTATTACCTGCAGTTCACCTCTTGCAAGAGCCGGTTTTAATATATTTGCAGCATCAATTGCCCCTTCTGCTGCTCCTGCTCCAATTAAAGTGTGCACCTCATCAATAAACAAAATAATCTCATCACTTTGTTTGATTTCCTCCATTAGCTTCTTCAATCTTTCCTCAAACTCTCCACGGTACTTTGTACCGGCAACAAGAAGACCCATATCCAGAGTTATAACCTAGAAGAGTTTCAAGGAGGGGAAAAGGTCAAATGTATTATTACATTGCTTTTCAAGATATAACTAGAAATACTGAAATAGAAGGAACGGTTCCAAATAAGTTTTAACTTATTGATACCAACTGCTGTAAACACAATAATGTTGCACATGACATTGCCGAGAATTATAAATAAACTCTCACCCACCTTCTTTCCCTCTATTGTTTCAGGAACATCACCAGTTGAAATCCGTTGAGCAAGACCTTCTGCAATTGCAGTCTTCCCAACACCAGGTTCTCCAATAAGGCAGGGATTATTCTTAGTCCTCCTACCCAAAATTTGGACGACACGTTCAATTTGCTGTTGTCTTCCAACAACAGGATCCAACTTACCCTGTGAATTGAAGAAAAATTATCTCAAAAACAAAAAATCTAAAGCAGAACAATTCTACAACTTGACATAAAGGAAAAGGAATAAATGAGTTCGTTTTTACCTCCTCTGCTAGCTTAGTCAAATTGGTCCCATATTCTTCTAGAGTTGGCATTTTATTACCACTGGTCCCTCCTCCAACACCAGCACCAACAGCTTCTGTGCTCTCACCGACCATACGAATAACCTGCCCACACCAAGAAAGTTTTTATGGTTACTTTCAGTTCTGATGATGAACTCTTCAAAAAGAAAAACTAACACAAGGATGCTACGCTTGCCTGTGTGCGAATGTTACTAGGGTCAGCACCTAAATTCTCAAGAACACGAGCTGCTACACCCTCACCCTCCCGAAGCAAACCCAGAAGCAAATGTTCGGATCCAATATAGTTATGACCTGAAATTCATCATTTATGAACTGTTTAGTTCACAAAAAAATTGAATGTATAGCAGAGAAGCAAAAGAAGAAATAAGAGCTATCAATTTGCATAGAGATCATATTTCAGTCTTCAATTTCATGTATGATCCTACACAAATTTAAGGCTGTTCAATTGAAATATCAATTTACTCCACAAGGATTAAGTTTGACGCCAAACGGTCTATAATTTTGCTCCACCTACTTTAAGTGAAGCTTTACACATCTAAAAATTACTAGGAAAACCCAGTACATAAAAGCAGGATGCCCATCAAGGAGAAAAAGGATGCTTCTTATTAGTTTCTATCAATGTTTTCGAGGCATTTAGTGAACAGGAGGAAGAGAAAAAACAGAAGGTACCAAGTTGGCGAGCTTCCTCCAGTGACAGCTCCAAAACTCGCTTTGCACGAGGAGTGAATGGAATTTCAACAGCAACAAATCCACTACCCCTTCCAATTATCTTCTCCACTTCAACTCGTGCATCTTTAAGATTAATTCCCATGGACTTGAGAACCTTGGCAGCAATCCCAGTCCCTTCACCAATAAGACCCAAAAGTATCTGCTCCGTGCCAACAAAATTGTGACCTAGTCGCCTTGCTTCCTCTTGTGCAAGCATAATTACTTTAATTGCTTTTTCTGTGAAGCGCTCAAACATGGCTTTAGGCACACATCTGCTAGCTCGTTCACGCCGTTTAGTGTTTGCAAATTTCACAGAAGAAAATAAGTCTCGCCTCGGCTTTACACTAATATCTAAAGCATTAACACTCCGAAGTCCTGTGTAACCGCTCATTCTCAATGCAGGTGCTCGTAAAGTACACAACATGACTGTCCTTCTAGCATTCCCAGATCCTTTAGAGTAGCCAAGCCTTCTCCCCATTGCCACACTAGGAATATAAGTAGACTGAACCAGATTTGTAGCCATGATTCCAACCTATTCCACATTCAGCAAAGACCAAACAAAGATTTAGTTCACAGTTCAAGACATTAATGGAGACACAAACTCAAAAAAAAAAGACTTCACCAATACTAGAACTTATGGTACGTGCATCAAACTACGGAGATTTACGCAGCAACATTTAACTAGTAAGATTGATAGTCAAGATATAGGAATGTCCTATCACCCAACAAAACAGAACATATGCATCAACTTACCAAATGATAACTATAATTATAAAACTGAGAAATCCTTTTCTCACTCCATTTTTGCCATCAACGATACATAAAGTTTCAGTCTTTCATTCATTTTAGTCTCCGAGCCCAGCATACAAGTGACTAACCAAGCTCAAACATCACAACTAAACGACCATTACAAACATATAACCTTAAAAAAGTTCAGAAACATAGTAACCACAAAAAACAACGGATACCCAGATTCAAACAAGACCATAAAACCTCAAAAACACAATAACATCAGATACCCATACTACAGCAACAACATAATAACATTAACAAATCCGAAACTCGAACATCAGATGCAGATTTCATTAAAAACAGATAAGAACAATCTATTGAAAGGGGAAAACCCCAGAAAACCCAGAATCCAGATAAACCTATGAAGAAGTTAAAAGAAAAACCCAAACTTTTCGCACAAAGAAGCAGTGAATCCAAAAGGGTAATCAGATTGAAAAGAAAAGCTCACCTAAAACCCCGTTATCCGGATAAACTTTCGAATTGAAATATAAAAAATGGAATTTCTCGAGAGACGGAGAGAGAGAGGGTCTTTCTTCGGAGAGGAAGAAAGAGACCCTATTTTTAGTATGATATGGTCGGCCGAAAGAGCAAGAGACAGAAGGTGTGGTCTTAAGAGAAGCTCTTTCTCTCTCTAAAACTCTATAACTCTCTCTTTTCTCTCTCTTGCTTTCCTTCTGGGTCTATAAATCGATGTTATCCATCCCTTGGCCACCGTCGGGTACACCACACCGCTAACCTACGACCGCGACTGATCGACGGCAGCGAGTTACGACACGTCGTATAAAAGTGTGAGATTGAGGCTTCGAGTGGGCCCACCAGCCTCATCCGTAAGTCAATGAGAAATTGTGAATGTTACTGCAGTCCCTCTCTTGGCCCGAGATATTTCGTTGGATGACGGTTTTGCCCCTGATACTCTTCGACTTCATTCGCCAGAAATGTTCTGGGCTCGTATTTGAACGTCAACACGTCGCTGTTTTGGTTGCAACAAAGCCGTACACGAGACCAATTGCTTAAGCTTCTTTCAAATTCTTCTTATTTTTCCTTCATAGTGTTTTTCAGGACTCCAATCATGTTTTTCACGTTAATTAATATTATTATAATCTTTTTGCCATCTAGGCCTTGTTTGGTATTGTTTTGTTCTACCAAAAAGCTACTTTAAAAAAATGGGTGTGTTATCCACATACCATTTTTTACTTCTCACACACCCTCTTAATTTTCGGCAGTTTGATTGAATAAATTAAAGAAGATCAAATGACATAAATCAATAAGGGGTGTGTGAGAAGTAAAAAATGGTGTGTGGATATCACACCCCTAAAAAAAATAAGAACTTTAATGAAAAAGAGTTTGAGTTAAGTTTATTTTAATAAAAAAAATCATGTTATAACTTTATTTAATAAAAAAGACAAATCTTAATGAAAAACTTTTATTTTTAATAAAAATGACAAAAGAACTTAAAGTTTAATTAAAAAGACACAATTTTAATATTAAAAAATTATATAAAAAAATTGACTCATGAACATGCGCGTCCTCACATAAACTGTTTATAAAATTTATTACATTGTTTATGAAATTTAACGGTACTACACTGTTTGTGAAACTTAACAGTAACGGTAGATGAAGATTAATTATATACGTGGTTATATAATAATATATATGTGTAAAAACAATAGAAAATTCCTATTCCTACCTTTTGTGTATATAATCTACAACTACAAGGGACGAATTTGACTAAATTCGTGCACAAGCAGTAGTCTAGCACAAATACGAAGAAAATATTGGAAAATATAGAGAGAAAGAGGAGAGGCGTTGTTGTCAGGGAGAGTAGTTGATGGAGGAGAAGGAGATGAAAAATAATGAGGCGATGATGAAGTATTGCACGGGATTTACCTAGGTTTTTTTTCTTTATTATTTTGTCCTTGTCATTAAATAAAATTATATGATGGCTTTGGTTAAAACTTAAATTTTTGAAGCTCTTTTCATTAGTTTTCCTTTAAAAAACGAAGTTTAGCCTTTAATAAATGTTTTTAATTCTTGTAAGCGATAATTTGGATGCGGTCCCTAATCTTTAACATTCTTTGACTAAAACCTTAATGGTATTCAAAGTTTGATCAAAGTCCCTTGACTTTGTACACCTCATTATATTACAATTAATATTTATAGTTTTATAGTTTTGACATTAATTGTTTGATATTTTATGAGATTTATAATCCTATAAATTTAAAATCTCTCATTATAATACTATTAGAAACGGTTACAATAAAAAAATTTAAACATTTTGATTGAATAAATGGATAAAAACTATGTAAAAACAAGAAATAATAAATGGCAAAAGAATGTATCCATAGTGTTAAAAAAATGGGTACATTTTACAAAAAAATTTGTACATTTCACATTTAACAAAGTGGTACATTAATAAAGAAGAATTGGTACATTATAAATAAATTATGGTAGGGATAAAAGATTAAAAAATTATGAGTACAAATGAATTTTAAAAAAATATAGGCGCTAAAAGAAATTAATACATGGGTACAAAATAAAATACTACAAATTTTAAAAAAAAATGTTGCAAATTAAAAGTGGGTACAAACTAAAAATATAAATATATGATACAAAGTTTAGGCATAAAACATAAATATACCATATGTAATTTTTCTATCATTGATTAAATATACAATGTCACGTGACGGTATACACATGGGTACAAACACAAATAAAACTTTAAAAAATATGGGCACACAAAGAAACTAATATATGGGTACAAATTAAAAATGACAAAAAAATTGGTACAATTTAAAATAGGTACAAACTAAAAATAAAAATATATGATAAAAAATTTAGCCATAAATATAAATATACTAATTGTAACATTTTTAACACTAAAGGAATATATTTAAAAATAAAAATATTTTATTATTCAAATAATTAATGATGTTATTAATACCCAAGGGCCTTGATCAAAAATTGAAAATGAATAGGATTTTAATCAGTGGAGTAGCAAAAAGAAGGATGTGAACCTAATTTCTCCTTCTTGTAATACCTTATCAATTTTTTAAAATGACATTTTCTCCCTCGGAAGAACAAAGTGACCACCACCATCTACCAGTAACACTACAACCACTAACCTTCTATCATCATTGACACTACAAGCGCCACCACCACCGCCATCGTAGTTGCCACGACCAACACCACCACAACAACCACAATTGCCACCTCTAGCACCACAACTACCATTAGCACCATCGTTGTTGTTACTGTCGTCATAATTGCCACCACCTCCAATACCACAATCGTCACCACTGCCGCTACAATTACCATCGTTGTTGCCACCGCCTCTACCACCATTATAACCTATACACCACAACCACCACACCCATAATTATCACTACCACTACCATCACAACTATCACCACTACCACCACAACCACCATCATCGCAACACCACCATTGTAACCTCTTCACCCAACCACTACACCCCATTATTAGCACCACCACCATACCCTTACAATTGTTGATGTCATCACCATCACCATCAGCCACCCACAGCCACCGCCACTACTAGTACCACAACCATTTTTGTTGCCACCACAACAATTGCAACCGCCAAATTTACGCAATTGTCGCCTCCTTAACCACCACACTTCATTATTGGCAGCACTAGACACATCCACCATTGCCACTGCCACCACCACTAGCCCCGCCACTGCTATCGTTGCCACCACCCCAACTACTATGTCAATTCTTATCATTATATAAAATTATATCACTTATACATTACGCTTCTACATCACTCTTCCTGTTACAAAACTTATAAAAATACAATTTATCAAACGTTCAACGCTTTATTTTACAACTTATTATTTATAAAGCATAACAAAGTTGTTTTTTTTTTTAAAAAAAAAAACGATAATTCCAAATTGGCCTTCAATACTATGGTTTAATAGTATTCCTCCTCACAATTTTAGCTCATTTGTGAAATTATTTGGTAAATTTCACAACTCACACTATAATATATAAGGGTGTGTCATCCACACACCCCATTTTACTTCTCACACACCCCTTGATAATTTTTGTCTGCTGATCTTCTTCAATTCATCCGATCCGACAGTCGAAAATTAAAAAAGTGTGTAAAAAGTAAAATGGGGTGTGTGGATATCACACCCCTAATATATAAAGCTCTTGCGTTGCGCCTATTTGGAACTCTTTTATGATGGCTAAAGAATAAATAAATGCATTTTAAGCAACTTTTTATTAAAAAATTAAAATTATCTTTTGGTTATAACAGAAATTGAAAATACTTGCAAAAGTACTTTCAAGTGCTTTTTCTAGAAGACACGTCAACTATTGATTAAATTTGGGACATTCTTCTAAAAATATTTTTCTGAGCAAAACTGTTTTCTTTAGAAGTTTTGATGTATGGGCTTTCAGGGCTGATTTTGGGTTGCTTAATTTTCTTAGAAACAATTTCTTAAAAAAGTTAGAGCTTTAATTGTGTTTGGTAAATGAAAATAAAAAGTGTTACTTAAAAATTAAAAAAAATCATAGGTCCAAAACACCAGAAAGCAAAAGCAACTCTACACATATTTCTTAATTTTTTTTCATTGGAGTTAGATGAACAATATCAATTAATGAAACTTTCATATTAACAATCCTACCTCCATTTTTTTTTCCTTTTTGTTTCTTCTAAAAGCACTTTTAACACTATAGTTTACTAAACACTTACCTACCTTTTTTTCATAATTTTTTATTCTCATAGCACAACAAAAGCAATTTTGAAAAAGAAACATAGCAAGCATTAGAGCTGGTTTGGTATTGCTATGCTTTGAAAAGAAAAAAAAAACAGTTTCTGCTGTGCTGTGAGAATAAGCTCATTTTTGCTGCTTCACATTTTCAGCTTTTTTCATCCAAAACTATGAAAATAAGCTGTTTTTAAGTATTTACCAAACACATTTTTTAGCTCAGCTTTTTTTGATACCCACTTTTTATAAAAACACATCAGTACCAAACAAGTACTTAGTCTTCTTAAGTTAAGTGGTTTGACCAAACAATATGTTGGGTTGTTGTCCAATTTTTTAGGCCTTTCCATAGAAGGTTTAGTCCCAATATTTATGTTTACTAGACGATTAGAACAACAAGTGAGGATTGCCGTGTTGATTAGCGCATTTCTCTTTAACTAGATGTGTGTTCTAGGTTCAAATATTCCCCCTTAACGTAGTTTAAAGAAGAAATATATTGTATTAAAAATTAAATTAAAACATTAGTCCAATTGAATTGAGATAATCTAGTTAATCACCAAAGTAGAAAGTTTGAGATTTTCATTCCCGAGATTCTCATTTCCCTTTGCAGTTCAATTATAAAATATAGTGTAGATAATGGAGAGGAAAATTACAAATTGAATTGGGGAATTTGGTGGCCTATCCTTTGACAAATTCCAATGATTAGGATGCGTTTGGTTGTTTGTGCGTGTAAAAAAATCAGGAAATAGTTACGCTGATTGGGGTCGGCAGCCTTTAGTTTCGGCCTTGGCCTTGTTGTCAATCCAGCGACCATAATTGTGTTTTTTTCTAAGTTTGTTCTTTCCTTTGTTTTGTAAACTTTTACTCTATTCCTTTGTGGACAAAACACTCGTTCTTTACTTTTTTGTGGGTGTGTTTGTTGTACCGGACTATTTTAAACTGGATTAGCGACTAAGCTGTAGTGGCTTAGTAGACTAAGTTGAACTAACTTAGTGAACCGTTTGATGCAGTGCTGGACTAAAAAGCAAGATAATAAAAAAATGGAAAAAAAGAACCCATTATAAATAACAAAATACTCATGTTATCTGCTTCAAGTAACAAACATGGACTACTCTTATCTATAATCCAGTCTAGTCTAATGAAGTTTAATGAAGGCAAACAAACGCACGCTTGTAGATTTATGGCGAGGTGATAGAATTTTTTGGGCCAATTGCCAAGGAAACTCAGCCCACTTTGTCATTCTATGTCAAATTCAAGATGATCCAAAAGTGGGCCGGCCAAGATATGTTTGTGGTTTTCAGGCCTTCTACGTTTGGCCCAAATCAACAATCCTTTTTCTAGTACGGGCTCTTGTTTTTTGGGCGAAGTTTTGCAGTTTGGAGTCATTGGACTGAGATGAGGAATTTAAGATCACATATGAAGGGACGAGAATCATGGAATCAGGAAGGAAACTGAACTCTTGACTTGTTAACTTAGTCTAGATCTTATTTCTCACTCATCTTCACCACTTTGGGTAACCCTAAGACAATTTACGAGTAAGATAAAACTAACATAATATTTCTTTCGGATTTCAACAAGCTAGCACTTCCGATCGAAACAAATCGTTCTTGTTGTAAATGTAACATTGTAACATCTCACAACATGACATGTCAAATTGTCTTACAATTAATATTGTTACTACCCTTGTAGTGAATATAGTGATACTCTTTACCATACCAAACTTTGTCATTAGAGGCGGAGCCATGAAGGGACCAGGATGGTCCCAAACTCATGGCTCTAATTCGACATTTTTACTTTAATTTCTTTCATTGGGTTTAATTGAGGTTGGTGGCTCCTATGGAGTTCAGGCAATCCGTTGCTTGTGAGCTTTGACGAAGACTTTAGTCCAAGGATCAGTGGAAGGATAGAGGAAAAAGTCAGAGAGACTTGAGGTTTAGGTTTAAAAAAGAGGATGATGAGGACAAAATCATACCAAACCTAAACGATGGTGGTCAGTTGCTCACCACATAGCAAAGTAATTTTTCGTAAGATTAAGATAGCGTTATCTATACCAATTCATGCATCGCCAATAAATTCCGTCATTATGCTGATCTCCTTAGGCCATCTCCAACCAAAGGAGGGTTATAGGGCTCATTTTAGCCCTATAGCCATCACCCTCCAAGAAATTAATATTTTAATGAACAGTGTCATACCATATTTCTTACCATCTCTAACCAAGGGGCCAAAGGGCTATAGGCAAAACATAGCCCTGTGACAAAAAATCATCTTCAACTGAGGGGGCCAAAGGGTCATAGGCCAAACATAATTTATTATTTGATTGAATTAATATGGTTACTTAAATTAAACTACCTCAATAATTTTTCAAGATGGAATGTCAATAATTTTTCCGAGATTTTTGAATCAATATGATTTATAACTGTATATTGTCTCGAATTTCGAGTGTCACATATCGATATGTGAGTAACCAGGATTCTGATTCTAAATCGATAGTCTTAATAATTAATATTTACGATTGTTATTCGTTCTCTTGGATTTCAATAAAGTGCCTAATGTGTTTATGGTTGAGTAACTTCTCTCCATAATTTTTTTGTTGATTTATAATATTCTCAATAATTGTTTCGGGATAGGGATTTCGAGTGTCACATGTCGAAGATGTAATTGGTTGTGGAGTTTTAATATAGGGATTTTTATATGTGGTGACACTAACTTCTTAACTTCAACTTCCAATGTCCAAAAATAGGGTGGATATTGGCCTATAATTCACACACCTTCAACTTTGTCCTCTCCAATATCTATTTCAATTCAATCTTTTTCAATTCAAGTTTGCAATGAATTCCAACTTTGGATCCCCTTCGTATTCCAACTGGGGGTCCTCATCCAATTTCGAATTGGAAGATGAATGGGCAATATGATAAGACAAGAGAGTCCGATGAAGAAGAATGAGCACATAACGCAATACATCATATATGGCAGCCATGGCTGGGGTCATGGCGTGTGAGGAAACTGAATAACAACCTCAATAGGGTGGCTCTGTTTCTAGTCGCGATTACAAGCCACGAAATAGAGAGATGGCACATGAGAATCTGATAAACAACTACTTCAACCCCAACTTGGTGTACACCCAAAAGAATTTTAGATGTCACTTCTAGATGAAGTGTCATGTCTTCGAGTGTTTACTTCATGATGTCCAACATGTCAATCCATACTTTCGACATAAACTGGACAAGCAGTTGCCGCCGCCTGATTGGGTAATCTTCCACTCTCCATTCAAGAAGGTTTAATATTGCACTACTCCGAGATGCTGGCATGTTACCTTCCTCAATGATGCGATTAGGATGATCCATAGGTATGTGGAGTCTACATGCCTTGATGAAAGTCTTGCTGATTTTGGTCACACAGTTGGATTTTCACGCAGCAGTTAGACTTTACAAAGAGGAATACCTCCGTCAACACAAATTAAGAAAGATTTTGGATTGGCCATTCGATCATAGCTTGAAGAAACCGTGGCTTTTTTCGATGCAATGTATAGGGTCACAGATAAGATTGCAATGGCATTGGCAAGAGTTTCGGCACTTGTTCACACAAAGAACTGTCCATGGAGGCAGAATGGCTGTGAGCTTTAGTGGAAGATCGAGAAAGCCAACTTAATTGTGTTAGAGGCGGTTACGTCATTTGAGGATGTGCTCGCACATGGATTCTGGGAGGTGGGCTTCGGTACGGTTACGTACCAAAACCCTTGTAGCAATGAGTACCAAACCGAAGTTTGACCAGTAAGACTTTATTGCGGTTTTGGTAAATCTTTTACAAAGATTGAATACCGTTGTGAAGTATTTCGAAATTGACCTTTACGTTGGTAAAGCCAAAGTGGTACCCAAACTTATCAAGTAAGTAATATTGCAAGTTACCTCCGGTATTTTGCCAAAATAGGTTGGTATGGCATAGTATGGGCATATGGTGTAATTGGTCCATTGTTTGTGTTTGTGAGACAAAATTTTTTTTTGTTTTTTGAAACC